TGATGATATAGTCTTTTCGTCCTTAGAGCTCTTTCCCCTGCCGTTCTCTAGAGGCAGGCTTTGCCCTACCTAGCCCCAGAGCCTATACAGACCAGCGCTGACTTGGTATCATTTATTGCTGTTGATAGCAAGAGTCTTCTGCAACGAATCAGCTACTTTCAGGGCGTACTCTTTGCATCGAAATTAGGATTTCAAGTCGCGAAGACTATGTTCGGACCGAACAGAGAGAGAATTCGGTGGGGATAGTCTGATGATAACCCATCCACCTGCAGCTTGAACCCCCCCCCCCCCTTGCACGCATGCCCTGAACTCTAAACTACCAGTATATGAACGTCTAGCTTCGCATCCGCAGAAAATAGAGCCTCGCACCTACGAACCATCAAGCTATGCATTGTACAATGTTAAAGAACATGATCGAGCGTTCCTTGAACAGTGCAAATGACGGCACCTTCATTGCAGAATAAAGGCGTTGGATCTGGACTTCCTCACGATTGAATCCATCAGAGTGGATTCGCGGCATGTACTACTAACTCGGTAGCGGAAGAGACCCGAACCAAAACTCCTTCAAGCTGGATGACAGATAATGGAGGTCCACGGAAAAGATTCCCTGGATGGCAAGATTAGATCTGAGAGGACTTCGTGTCAAATAGGTCCGGAGGCTTCCGTAACGAACCCAAAATTAAAACCTCTCATGCTCGCTTGTCCAGATACCTAGCCTCGAGCAGCACGCAAATACGTGCAGACCACTTATCTACCATGGCTCTCTCCCTCACAACTTCGCTTCACCCCCAACTAACCGCTGCCAATCCTTCTCCCCAAAGGGCACGTATCCCTCGCCCCCCGGAGGCAACCAATACAGCCGATCACTCTGACCCCCGACAACGTGGGCCCCCAGTTTGGCCGGCTCGACGCCTTCCTCGCGCAAGGGCACTTTATTCTGCTTGTGGTTGTGGATATGCGAGGTCTGCGTCACCAGCCGCAGGAACACCGGCACCGCGTAGCGCGGAAGACGGGCGCGCGCGAACTGCGCCAGCGCCGTGAGATCCAACGCCCCCTGGACGGCGGCGTCAGGGCTAAGTTGCAGTGCGGCGCAGCCGGCGCGCCCGTCGTGCGACGGCACCAGGACACCGTAGACGTTGGCTTCCTGGATCCCTGGGAATTCGCCTAGGGCGTGAGAGACTTCGGCGGTGGAGCTGTTGCCATTAGTTAGGAGAAGGTTTGGCTGGCGGGTTGGATGAGCAAGTTGGGGGGGGGGGGGAAGGAGATTACACATTCTCACTCTTCCATCGGAAGGTATCGCCCAGGCGATCGAGGAAATACCACCGGCCGTCGGCGTCGCGCCGCAGGGCGTCCCCGGACCGATACCACAGATCCCCCCGCTCAAAAACATCGCGCAGGAACTTCTTGTCCGTGGCCTCCGGGTTGCGCCAGTAGCCCGGGAACGCGGACTCGGCGGGCACGCGCACGAGCATCTCGCCGCCGACCTCGTAGGGCTGGCGCACCGCGAACCCGGTGGCCGGGTCGCGCTGGACCTCCCCGGAGTGCGGGTCGATCGCGACCGGGGCGTAGACGCCGCGCATGAGCCACCGGGAGAGGGCGCCGTGGTGGCCGACGGCGCTGGCGGTGAAGGGCCCGCGGTTGTAGTTGTAGAGACTGAAGACGCCCTCGGTGCTGTTGAAGAACTCGCCGACCTCGGCGACGCCGAAGCGCTGCTGGAAGCGCGTCCACACGTCCGGCCGCAGCCCGTTGCCGTACATCATGCGCACGCGGTGCGCGCGGTCCAGCGGCGAGGGCGGCGCCGCCAGCAGGTACCGGGCGGTCTCGCCGACGTACACGAAGGCCGTCGCCTGGGCGTCGTGGACGTCGCGCCAGAAGCCGCGCACGCTGAAGCGCGGCGCGATCGCGATGCTCGTCCCGCGCACCAGCGCCACGATCAGCGCCACCGCCGACGTCCCGTGGTACAGCGGCATCGCGCTGTACCACCGGTCGCCGCCGGGGCCGACCCGGTCGCGCGTCGAGTACGCCCGCAGCCCCACGGCGACGTGCAGTCGCTCCATCCGGAAGGGGCATCCCTTCGGGAGTCCCGTCGTGCCGGAGGTGTAGAGCAGGATGGCGGGCGAGCTACCGGTCGTCTCGCGCGCCAGCCGGCCGTCTTCCGGGACCTCTGCCGGCAGGGTCGCGAGGACGGTGGTGGTGAAGGTTGCATCCAGGGTGATCAGCGTCAAGCCCAGGTCGGTCTCCAGGGTGGCTCGTCGGTCGTCAATCCGCGCCCGACATTCCGCGTCCGGGTCCACCAGGAGAAGCTTCGCGCCGCTGAGGGCCAGGCTGTGCACCAGCGCATCGCCGGTGAGATGGTAGTTGATGGCCGCCGGGGCAGCGCCGATGCTCCACAGCCCCAGCCACGCGAAGATGAATTCGGCGCGGCTTTGGAGGTAGAATGCGACCAGGTCGCCCGGTTGCACGCCGCGGTGGCGGTAGAACTGGGCGTAGCGGGCGGCCGCGGCGAGCACCTCCCGGTAGGTGAAGGACCGCTCCCGCGTCCAGATGGCGGTTAGATCGGGGTACCTGGTAGCGGTCTCAATGAAATTGAACCACAGGTTGACCTCGCCTCGGCTTTGGGCTTGCTGAGTGCTGCGGGTGGCCTGCCGCACCGTGCGCAGCACCGCTAGATCTTTGGTCAGGTGGAACTTCGCATTGAGGTACGCGGCGGCCGTTAGAGCGGCAGCGGTTGCTACAGCTGTCAGTATGCCATATGAGATTCGAAGGGTGAGAGCTGTACAGTACATACCTAACGCCATATTGAGGTTGTTGAGGATCAGAACACTAGGGTAGTGTTGGGTGGATCACATATTTGTAGGGGGCAAACTGGCAAAGGTTGAATTGCCGGACACCTCGGCTCGTCCGCCCACTCCGGCTCAACGCTTCATGCACAGACAGAAACTTGGCCAGCGGGGTCCAGCTGTTTTACTTTCATTGGCCATCGGTCTTTCTAGAAGGCCTGTTCCTTGCCTCATTATTGAGCTTGTTTGTCTCTGGGTTTGTTGCTTTTGTGTTCTGTGGAAAAGACATTTCGGTGAGTGAGTGTTGATTTCGACCCACCGAAGAATGCTACAATTCCTCGGTCGGCTACAACCTTCGCCTGACAAGCTTATTAGGCTGAATAGAACGTCAAGGAATCGATCCTTAATCTTAACAGTCGGTGAGTTATTGCACGGATGGATCAAGCTAATTGTATCCCCCGCACTGGCAGCCACGCGTCCTCGTATGACCCCATCCGTGCACTCGGCTGTGCTGTGTCCAACGCCACCTCCTCACACCAAGTCTCGATACTCCGTGGTAGGAATCAATTTCTCATGCACGCCTTTTTCGCTCGGCTGGATTGCCTTCCACGCCCACGCCTCGTCTTTCTCGGGCCCGTTGCTCACCCCTTGCAGCACGTTAACCACATACCGCCCAATCGTGGGGAGAAACTTGTAGCTGTGGAATGAGCCTCCCACGGCGAGATAAAGGTTGGCCAGCCGAGAGTCGGGATGCCGAGTGATCAGCGGATGCTGGCTGGGGGAGATGGCGTCCCAGCAGAGGCGATACCACTCGGGCTGGCGACGTCCGCGGTCGAGAAATTCGGGCAGTCGGGGCCGGATTTCCTTCAGGTGCGCCTCCTGCATCTTCTCTGGGACTGTCAACTGATCAGAGACCGGCACAGATATCTCGTGTCCTGATGCGGTGCGGATGGTGTTGGTGAAAGAGGAGGCCGTCGTAAACTTGAGGATCCCGTCTGCCGTGGGTGGAATCACCTCTCCTGGACAATCGTCAGCTTTGCAGGTATTTGAGTAAGAACAAAGGATTAGCCTTACCCTGTCCCCCATAGACGAAGACCGGCAGCCGTGCGTAGCGCTCGTGCTCTGCGGGCGACAGACGGAAATGCGACACGCACACCCCTGCCGCGGTGATCTGTCGCTCGACCCGGTCCGCGTCGGGGAGATCGAGCTCATCCTCGATGGACGACATGAGCTGACTCGTCCACGCGCTGGTCGCCAGAACGATCTGGCTGGCCGTGTAGACCGTCCCGTCGGCGGTTTTCACGCCGAGCGCGCCGGTGTCGTCCCGTGTGATGCGACGCGCCTCGCCGATTTCAAACCGGACGCCCCGCTGGACGGCCTCCTGCGTCAGGATCTGCAGCGCCTTGCCTGCATCGGCCCAGCCCGCGGAGGGGTTGAAGTAGTAGGACCCGAACGGCGAGCAGTCGGTCTGTTGGAGCAGTCCGCCCCACGCTTCGCGGACTTCCGCCTCCGTCATGTCGACGACGCAGTCATCGCGACCGGCGCGGTGGAAATTTTGACGAACGCGGACGGCGGTGTCGCTGCCTTTCTCGTCCATGCAGATCCATCCAGACGGATGGTGGACCCCGGCGGCTTGGAAGCTGGGGAGGGATTTCCAGGCGTCGAGGGCCTCGAATCCGAGAGTCATGTAGAGCGGGTTGGAGTAGTCTGCGCGAATAATCTTATTGATATCAGTAGAGGCTGCAGGGGGCGGAGGGGCTGGACTGCGATCGAGGAGGAGGATGCGTGGCTGCGGCGATTGGAGCGATAGATGGTAGGCCGTACTGACACCGAAGATCCCCGCTCCCACAACGAGGATATCATAGGGGGCGTCTACCGTCATAATGGAAAGTTCTCGGAACAAAGGAGTAACCAGTACTGTAGTAGAGAACAATGAAATTGTGAGGGAGGAAGAGATGAAAGAGAGAGGAGAAGGTGGAGGAGGTGGATGAGGTGAGGGGAAGAAGAAAGAATCCCTGAGGCTTATCTGATCCTCTGATATCATCGCCTCTTTGTCTCTCCCCTACAACAAACTCCCTCCATCCAATGCTATATAAACAACCCTTCGCCCATTTTGCACTTGCTCCATGTTGAGCATGGGCTTGGATCTCTTCTATCCTTAACGCAACCTGATCTGTGAGCCTTTGACTACCGTCAGTCTACTTTCACTAACCCGCAGCCATGGATACTCAATGGATCAACTCTGATAATCTTGACCTCCTGCAAGAAGCTGCAGACGCAATGTATACCGACAAAGGCAAAGGCAAAGGCAATAGCCAGAGGCTAGCTGACAAGATCACAGACAACCGAGTGCCGAGCTACATCCGAGGAGAGCTGCAGCTTCCCCGAAGGAAACTCGCGCCGCCTCCGCATGCCACCACCGCGACAGCCCGGCCCATCGTGCACGCCAACATCGTGACGCCTGGACGCAAGGGCTCCACCAGCGGTATCCCTTCCCCGGCGCGCACTCGCTCGAACAGTCACCCTACACGTCCGGTTTTCTCCAGTCTACCCACCCGTTCCAAGGGGCCTGCCGTAACCCCTGCGACCGCGCCTTGCGCTCCGCGGACTGGAAGCCCCCCAGTAATGCGATGTCACCGGTGTCAGAAGCTGCTGGATGACAGCCCGATCATCTGGAATGACTATCCAGGAGGACGGCCCGGTAGCCCGCCCAGAACCACGAGGTGGCATTCCTATTGCCTGTTTGGGCTGATTGCCGAGGACACATTGAGGCTCATTCCCCAGAAGGAAGCTCCCAAGAGTGAAGCTGTCGCGGCAAAGATATTCAACCGCTTTTTCGGTGGCGTGATGGGTTCTTCATGAAGCGAATTTTGCATCGGTTAGATAAGGCTTAGATTGCGACTTCTAGACTGCGATTCTAGACAGCGACTCCTAGATTGTGACTCTTCCGATTACTTTGGGGATTACTACAATGGCATTTTTTTTCTTTACATTATACTTGGCATATCCTTTCTTTTGATACAGCAATTTTTCTATGAGTTTCTCCTTGTGTTTTTGTGAGACAGTAGAGTCCCAAGATACTTGCTAGCATTGCTGCGGCGCTATGGTGGGCCAGAAGCAGATAATTCACAGATAGCATACTATGTGTTTATCATAGTCTCTCTTTCGTAACAGCAATATTGAGGCAGAACTCTAATAGTAACAACTTACAATCCCAGCAGAGTCGGCTTAGTCAGTATGGCTGTATTCCATAGCGATAGACAGTTCGATAAAAAGAGGGGCGTAGTGCAACCTTGACAATGCCAAGGACACTGAACCCTCCTTCTCCGTTGGTTTGTTCTAAGCACCCATTTCTTTGTCCACAACCTGAAGCTTTGTGTTTTTGCTCATTCAACTGCTTGTTTCGAGTATGTAGTCTTCTTCACAATGCTCCTCCACCACAGGGGTCCCTCGAGCCTTCATTATGCGATTATACAAAGATCAAGCAACGTTCTTCAGCGATGGGGACGTAGTGTTGAACCTCCTCAAGGTCATCGATAGCTATATAACTCGCCTACAGACCTGTGACTCGTGAAGGCAAAAAGACCAAGATCTCCATCACGGATCGCCTCGGGACAACCACGCATCACTAAAAGCTTTGAGCTCGGAACACACACCATTATCAACATGTTCCCCTTCGATGGTGCGTATATTGATGTTTCCAATGGCAAGCTGGTTCGACCCAAGCACCATTCGGGCAAGGAGAAGAAGGATCATAAGGATACCTCAAAGACCTCTGCCCACTCGTCCAAGAAGCACCACCATGAATCTCCAAAGGCACAAGCCAGCCACGCCCACAGCAGTACCACCCACGAGGAGCACCCACCGCATCACACCGCCGAAGATTGGAAGGACCACGACCCGGCCCTCCGGATCCCCTACTCCTCAACCGACTACGAATCGGAGGCCGTCTGTGCCCTCTCAGCTGCGAAGCTGGTGACCTCGCCGAACTTCTGCTGGGAGGACGCCTTGTGGGCGGGCTGCTCGCGGCATCTGACCGGCTGGAGCAACGTGAAGGCGCGGGTGGGGCTGGGGACGACGAAGCGACTCTGCTCGGTGGTCCTGGACACCGGCTCCCCGTTCAGCATCATGAGGCCCGATCATGCGCGCGAAATCCCCGGGGCCAAAATCTGTCCCTGCGAGTCGCCCTTCAAGCTGCACAGCTGGGACCAGGAGGACGTCCAGCTTGAAGTGACCGAGTACGCGGTCTTCCACATGTTCATCCCCGAGCATCTGGGCCGGCCCAACGAGGACCGGCGCTGGGCGCGCATCGTCGTCCGGGCCTTTTGTGTCCCCGGCACGTCGGACACCTTGTCTCTCGTGATCGGCTCCTCCGTCATGGCCCAGGAGGGGATCACCATCGATCTCAAGAATGGCGTCGGGGTGGTGAGCCCCGGGGATCTCGAGTTCCGTCTGGATATGGGTTATAATCCCGAGGCGCCCAATCGTAATTTCGAGTGAGTTCGATCGTATCTACCTGGATGCATACAGAGACTCACGTACCTACCCCAATACAATACGTTGTTTATTACCAAATTTACTATACTTTCTTCGAATCTTCACCCTCTGTTTTCAAACGGTGTGTCTACCGAATGCAGAAATCCACCCATATATACGTGTCTAATACATGCATACTTACAGCAACAGACCCATTTCCACCGCAACCCTCACAACCGCGCAACCTTAGCAACCTGCATCTGTTCCTCGCCCTGCGCCTCCTCCAACCACTCCACAATCGTCTCGACCAACCCATCGATCTCATCTTCCGTATTCCCCGCATGAAGACACACGCGCACGCGCTCCTGGCCCGCCGGGACGGTGGGCGGCAAGATGGCGCGCACGACGTAGCCGCGGGCCTGACACGCGGCCGCCAGCCGGCGGGGCAGGGCGCAGCGCAGCGAGAAGATCGGGGACCCCGGGTGATGGTCGAGGGTGAACAGCGTCGCGTCCACCGGCTGGATGGCGGCCAATCGCTCCCGGAGATACCGGATCCGCTGGTGCAGCGTTTCTTGCAACTATATCGAGTCAGCCTCCCATCCTATATCCGCGGGCCTCCTTGTTCCACGCAGATGCGGGGGACTACTCACCCCGACCGTCTCCCCGCCCTCCAGCATCTCATACGCGGTGCGGATCGCCGCGAGGAACGGAAACCCAAGCGCGGTCGTATAGATCAGACTCCGCGCATAATTGATGAGGTATTCCCTCGTATCAGGATCGCAAAGCACGACCGCTACACATGATGTTAATGTTAGCCAGCGTTCATCTTCTCCCCCGAAACTCCCGCTCCCCCCATATGATCCTGATAAAAAGGGAAACATACCACCATGACACCCCAAAGCCTTCCCAAACGTATGGACCCGGACGTACATGCGCCCCTCCAACCCCAACCCCTGCACGACCCCCGCGCCTTTCGGCCCACACACACCCGTCGCATGCGCCTCATCCACGACCCAATACCCATTCCCGCGCGGCAGCAACGCATCCACGACGGCCACAAACTCCGCCAGCGGGGCCACATCCCCATCCATACTGTACACGGACTCGACGACGACAAACACATTCCGGGAGCCGTCTTGCAGCGTCGGGTCGAGCTGGATCTGCGCGCTGAGCACCGCTTGCAGACTCTGGGGGCTGCTGTGCCGGAACGCCAGGGCCTGGGAGGCGCGGGACCGCCGCATGCCCTCGTGGGCGCTGGCGTGGATGGCTTCGTCATACAGGATCAGGTCGTTGGGCTGCGGGAGCGTGGACAGCACCCCCCAGTTGGCGTCGAAGCCGCTGTTGAAGAGGAGGGCGGAGTCGCTGTTGTGGAAGCGCGCGAGTTGGGACTCCAGGGCTTCCGTGTAGGCGGAGTTGCCATCGAGGAGGCGCGAGCCGCCGCTGGCGAGCGGGTGGGAGGGCGGGAGGGTGGTGAGGTGGTGCAGGTAGCGGCGGCGGTAGAGGGGGTTGGTGGAGAGGGAGAGGAAGTCGTTCGAGGAGAAGTCGGTGGCATTTGGGGCGGGGAGGGTCAGTTTGCGGAGGGTGTTGTTGCGGGCGCGTTGGTGCAGCGTTTGGCGGAGGGTTTGGCGGAGGGAGGGTTGGGGTATAGCTGTGGATTTGGGGGGGTGTGAGGGGGAGGGGGAGGGTAATGATGATGAAGATGGTGAAGTTGAGGGGGGCATGATGGATGAGGGTTTACGGGAGGTCTGTACTGTACAGTACTGTAGGCTACGATGTACATGTACATGCTAAGTTACAATCTGGGGATGGGGGGGGGGGCTATATGAGTCTCGATTATCTTTAGTCCACTCATGTGTAATCTCATTTGTCTGTTTTGGATCGGTAGTTCAGAAATTAGGAAATTAGGTCGAGGCCAAGCAATAATCAGCTCAATCTCGGAGATGCTGGGAGGGGTGGGAGATGGGTGGAGTCAAGCAATCAATTTTACTGTTAGTTACTCCGTGATTATCCAGGTGCACTAACTAGGGTTACCGTTCGCCGGCGTAGAGGCTAGTAGGCCGCCTACAATAGAACTCGTGATGGGGCAGGGCAGGGCAGGGCAGGGGGCCTGAGAATAAGGTAAGAGTCATCGTTCGTCGTTCTGCCTAATTGTCAGATTCAACCTTGCCCAGAGCGATTGAATTAGAACACGACCAGAACCCCCCCCCCCCCCAGCAAATCCATCTTGCAAATGGAAACTGTTGACTGTTGACTGTTGACTGTTCACTGTTGAGAGCCGGCTCCACTGCTCCACCGAGCCTTTCCAAACTGCCTTGCCGGCTTTTTAGTTTTCATCCTCGGTTCGGAGCTTCTTTTTTCGTCATTGTTCCATTTCTTATCGTTCCTGATTGTCTCTTCGCCCGCTTTTCTTCCCCACTTCCGTTTCCGCCCACCGGAAGAGACGGATTCTCGACCTCGGCCCTTCTCAAGACAGCAGCTACAACTTACAAGTGCTGTGAACTTGCAGCCGAGCTGAGGATTGTGATGAAGGCATAGAGAAATCTCCATTGAGCTCGCAATTGAATCGCACACACTTTACCCCCCCAAAATGCCCGCCGCCGCGCTCTGGCGCTCTCTGCGCGCCCACCAGGTCTACGGCGCCAACACCGACGTCGGCAAGACCATCGTCTCGACGCTGCTGTGCAATGCCTTACAGCATCACGGACCGGTGGGCTTCCTCAAGCCCGTCTCTACCGGGCCACTGAATGAAGCTGATGATCGGTACGGTGCTCCCATTCCACACACTCAAGCACACTGCTCACGGATTCAAACGCAGCCACATCCAACGCTACGCCCCGCACACGCAGACGCAATGCCTCTACCAATTCGCCGACCCGGTCAGCCCGCACCTCGCCGCCCACAAGACGGGCGCCGTGCCCAGCGACCCCGAACTCCTCGCCGCCATCCACCACACCCTCAGCACGTGGTCGTCGCAAACCGCCACCAAGCACGCCCTCGTCGAGACCGCCGGCGGGGTGCACTCCCCGGGCCCCAACGGCACCTCGCAGGCGGACCTCTACCGCCCGCTCCGGCTGCCCATCATCCTGATCGCCGACTCCCGACTCGGGGGCATTTCGGCCTCCATCTCCGCCTACGAATCCCTCCTCCTGCGCGGGTACGACGTGCACTCCGTGCTGCTGTTCCGGGACGACTACTACCAGAACCACAACTACCTACAGCAGTACTTCGCCAAGAAGGCCATCCCGCTCGTCGCGGTGCCGGCGCCGCCGGCGCGGCCGGATCCGCGGGACGGGGAGGCTGTGAGTCAAGACGCGGAGGCGATGGGACGGTACTATGAGCGGACTGTCAGAGAGGGCCGGTTGGGCGCGGTGGTCGAGGCGCTGGAGCGGAAGCACACGGAGCGCTGGGAGCGGTTGGAGGAGATGGCGCGCAAGGCCGAGGAGACGATCTGGTATCCGTTTACGCAGCATCAGGGTGTCAAGGCCAAGGATATTTCGGTCATTGATTCGGCGTATGGGGATTATTTCCAGAGTTACCGACAAGAGAAGACGGGAAATGCGGGCGATGGGGGTAGCGCACTACGCTCGACGTTCGATGGGTCCGCCTCGTGGTGGACGCAGGGGTTGGGCCATGGCAACCCCGACCTCGCCCTGTCGGCGGCGTATGCAGCCGGCCGGTATGGGCATGTCATGCTCCCGGGGAATATCCACGAGCCGGCGCTGGCGCTGGCGGAGACGGTGCTCCAGAGCCAGGAGAATCCCCGGCTCAAGCGGGTGTTCTACACGGATAATGGCAGTACGGGGATGGAGGTGGCGGTCAAGATGGGCCTGCGGGCGGCGTGCGCCCGGTACGGGTGGGATGCGAGTGCGGAACCCATCCGCATCCTGGGGCTGAAGGGCAGCTATCATGGGGATACGATCGGGGTGATGGATTGCTCGGAGCCCTCGACGTACAACAAGAAGGTGGAGTGGTATCGGGGCCGCGGCCATTGGTTTGATTTCCCCCTGGTGGCGATGAAGGATGGGGTGTGGAAGATCAGCATGCCAGAGACGGCGCTGGGAGATGAGCTGCAGTTTGGATCTCTGTCGGAGGTGTTTGACCTGGAGCAGAGAGTGGACTCGGAGGCGGGCCAGCGGTATCGCGAGTATATTCACCGGACCATCCAATGGTTAGTGCAGCAGGAGGGGATCAAGTTTGGCGCGCTGATGATGGAGCCGATCATTTTGGGTGCGGGCGGAATGTTATTCTGGTGAGTTTTATTTTCTTGTGTTTGTTTTTCTTTTTGAGGGCCTGTGGCTGACTTCGGGCCATAGTGACCCCCTGTTCCAGCGGTGTCTGGCGGACGTGGTGCGCCAACACCCGGAGCTGTTTGCCCCTGGGCAGAGCTCCCCGCCCGCCGGAGCGAACGACTGGTCGGGCCTGCCTATCATCTTCGATGAGGTCTTCACCGGGCTGTACCGATTAGGGCGGCGATCGGCCGCCTCTTTCCTGCAGGTGCACCCCGACATCTCCGTCAACGCCAAGCTGCTCACCGGCGGCCTCGTGCCGCTGTGCACCACGCTGGCCAGCGAGCCGATCTTCCGGGCGTTTTTGAGCGACGACAAGACTGATGCACTGCTGCACGGCCATAGTTACACGGCGCACGCGGTGGGCTGCCAGGTAGCGGTGGACTCGCTGCAGACGATGATGGGGATGGAGCGCGAGGGGGCCTGGCAGGGGTACCAGCGCGATTGGACGGTGGCTAGCAGCGGCGCTGCTGCTGCTGCTGCTGCTGCTGCTGCTGCTGCTGCTGCTGCTGCTGCTGCTGCTGCGGGGGCTCCTACGACGGGTCCTTCGGTCTGGAGCGTCTGGTCCCACGAGCTCGTGCGGGATCTGTCGCGGGCGGCCTCGGTTGAGGGGGTGTTTGCACTGGGCACGGTGCTCAGCATCGCCCTCAAGGATCAGCACGGGGGCGGCTACACCTCCCGGGCGGCGCAGGGGCTGCAGCAGCGCTTAGCCGCGGGGTCGGAGCAGTTCGCGGTGCATTCGCGGGTGCTCGGGAATGTGCTGTATTTGATGTCGAGCGTGACGTCCAAGCCGGAGTCGCTTCGGGCAATTGAGGAAGTATTGCGGGGAGGATTGCTGTAGGTGGCCGCCTGGTCGCCTTGTAGGTGGGGGAGGAGAGTCCTCCGGGGGAGGATTCTGCCGAGACTTGGGGGAGTGTACATACATACAAGGCAAAAGTGGTGTATATAGCCGGCTATCGTTTCGAGTCATAGGATTCTACTGTACATTCATCTTTGTCTTCCATGAGTCTATTCAATTGGTAACAGAAAAGCAAATAAGTATTTTCATTTGATCGTATTCTGTTGTCCACTTTGAATAAGTTAAGTTATGTTGCTGCATGGCTGTGGCGGATGACTCAGCGTCTGAGTAATCCGTCCTCACCGGGCGGCCTTCTCGCATATCCACCAATCAACGAACAGGCAAATGCGGTGTTTATTTTGTGTTGATTCAACCGGGTTGACATCACTTTCCCCATAGTGTGGCGGGTACCTGACCAACCAAATAGACTAATCGAAATGACAATCGGGATTGTCTCAATCCGCGGGTCTCCTTTGGTCCGAGAAGTCCAGACGAGTGGAGCATGGATGTCTGGGAGTCGGAGGAGTCTGGCCTGGTGGTGGTGGTGGTGGTGGTGGTGAGTTGGATCTGCAAGTCCCGTTGAAGTCAATTGCTTACACTGCATGGAGGAGGGAGGAGGGGGGAGGGGGGAGGGGGGGGTTGAACCCTCAGCGGTTGGGGTCAACACGACCGGTGAGGTTGTTGGCTGTAGCCTGTAGATTAGTAGCCCGTAACATAGCCCACAGCCTGCTCCTGCCCCTCCTGCCCCTCTCCAGCCCGAGGTTGTGTGAAGCTTGTCCAGCACTGCACTGAGTGACTGGGCTGTCCGTGTTCGGGGGGGTTTGCTGACTTGCTCGACAACTAGCCAAGTCATTATCGTAGATACTAGGTAGACTCGAGTAACTTACTGTACCCTGCCCTAGTCACCACGCAACTCCGAACCCCGGTCTAGTTTGTCCATCCCCATCCCCCCCCTCTTTCTTTCTGCACCTCCTCCCACACCACCCTTTTCTTTTCTCTTCCTCCCAGTTTCGACCTTTCTTTCATAGACAAAAATACAAACACATTGAGAATGATCTCGCTACGACAAGCCCTGCCGCGGACTGCCTTCCGCCGCGCCTACGGCACAGTGCAGTCGACCTCGCCCAGTGCGGCGGCGCTGGCGAGTCGAGTGCCGGCGGTGCTGCGAGAGGCGACGGATGCCACGACGCCGCGCACCAACTGGACCAAGGAGGAGATCCAGCAGATCTACGACACCCCGTTGAACCAGCTGACCTATGCTGCGGTGCGTACCACCACACCACACTGCAGTCCATGAACACATTCACCCCCTAGACTACCTACCCACTAACGCCGCCAGAAATAGTCCCTCGTCCACCGCAAATTCCACGACCCCTCGGCCATCCAAATGTGCACGCTCATGAACATCAAAACCGGCGGGTGCAGCGAAGACTGCAGCTACTGCGCGCAGTCGACGCGGCACAACACGGGGCTGAAAGCGACGAAGATGTCGGCGGTGGACGAGGTGCTGGCGGCGGCGCGGACGGCCAAAGCCAACGGGTCGACGCGGTTCTGCATGGGGGCGGCGTGGCGCGACATGCGGGGCCGCAAGACCTCGCTGAAGAACATCAAGTCGATGGTCAGCGGCGTGCGCGAGATGGGGATGGAGGTGTGCGTGACGCTGGGGATGATCGACGAGGCGCAGGCCAAGGAGCTCAAGGACGCGGGCCTGACCGCCTACAACCACAACCTCGACACCTCGCGCGAGTTCTACCCGTCCATCATCACGACCCGCTCGTACGACGAGCGGCTGCGCACGCTGGCCAACGTGCGCGACGCCGGCATCAACGTCTGCAGCGGCGGCATCCTGGGGCTGGGCGAGAAGGACGAGGACCGCGTCGGCCTGATCTTCACCGTGGCCAATCTGCCCAAGCACCCCGAGAGCTTCCCGGTCAATGCCCTCGTGCCCATCCCGGGCACCCCCCTGGGCGATCGCAAGATGATCCCCTTCGATCGCCTGCTGCGCACCGTCGCCACCGCCAGAGTCGTGCTGCCCGCCACCATCGTGCGGCTGGCCGCCGGCCGCATCTCGTTGTCCGAGGAGCAGCAGGTCGCCTGTTTCCAGGCCGGCGCCAATGCTGTGTTTACGGGCGAGAAGATGTTGACTACCGATTGCAATGGGTGGGATGAGGATCGCGAGATGATGGATCGCTGGGGGTATTATCCTATGAAGAGCTTTGAGAGGGAGGGGTTGGAGGCTGAGGTGGCCGGCAAGAAGGAGGAGGCCCAGCAGGCGGCTGTCTTGGAGGAGAAGGTGAGGGAGGTGTCTGCGCAGGTCGCGACCAGTTTGTGATTTGGGTTTGTTAGTGTTTGAATTTTGAGAAATGGCATTTATGACGTATCCTCTGCATTGTGGTGGTTGGGTTGGTCTGGATTGGATGATGTGTTCGGATACTTGGCTTGGTTCATCTGCTGTAAGCAGGTTGATCTTGTAGTGTTAGAGACAGCATTGGTGCTAGACACAGCGTGAATCCATCATGTACCCCCCCAAACTGCAAGGCATTATCTCCACCGGACATTAAACTACTCCCTCTCCGTCTCGAAATCCTTCTGCACCCGCGCCGCAAACTCATCGTCCACCAGCACCTGACACGCCACCACCGCCATCCCCGCCGCGCACGCCATCCCCCGCTGATACGCCTCGAGCGAGCCCGCGCCCTGGGTGAACCCGGGCGTGTGGTTGACCCCGTCGGTGGGGATGGTGAAGATGCCATGGAAGCCGGGCACGGCGTACGACACGTTGCCTGGTCCGATTAGCACACTCCCACGCAACGAAGACCAACCGGGGATGAAATACGTACCTTGGTCCGTCGACGCCCCGGTAATCGCACTCTTCTGCCCCGTATTATCGAACAAGGTGAGATGGCCCATCGCCCGCATGACGGCGACGTAGCTCTCGCAGATCGGGTTATTGGTCTTGAGATCCGCATACGACGGACCCCTACCAACTCGAACATCAGCATCAGCATACCCCTCAATTCAACTCACTCCCCAAAGCAAAAGCACGTACCACTCAAACGCGACCTCGCACCCCGTGGCCAGCGCCGCCGCCTCAAAGCACTTGACCACCCGCTCCGACAGCCCCTTCAACGACCTCACCGTCGGCGACCGGATGTAGTAATCCACGGCCGCGCTGCGCGGGATGACATTCGGCCGCTCCCCGCCGTCGACAATCACCCCGTGCACGCGCTGCGTGGGCAGGATCTGCTGCCGCAGCAGCGCGACATTCACGTACGCCGCGACCACCGCGTCCAGCGCGTTGACCCCCTCCCACGGCGCCGCCGCCGCGTGCGCCGGCCGCCCCGTGAACGTCACCCGCAGCTTGTCGTTGGCCAGGTACCCGCCCGGCAGCACGGTGGCCAGCGTCAGCAGCCGCGGGTTCTGCGGCGCCATCGGCACCGGGTGCACCATCAGGCACGCGTGCACCCCCGTGTACGCGCCCCGCTCCAGGAGCTGGATCTTGCCGCCCCCGGATTCCTCGGCCGGCGTGCCGAGCAGTTTCACCGTGAAGTTGGCGGCAGCGGCGGTGGTGGGGGCTTCAGACCGCATGGCGTGGCAGGTGGCGAGGAAGGCGGCGATGGAGCTCGTCGCGATCAGGTTGTGGCCGCACGCGTGGCCGATGCCGGGCAGGGCGTCGTATTCGGCGTTGAAGGCGACGACGCGTCCGCGCGACGGGTCGCCGTGTGTGTAGGTGACCTCGAGGGCGGTGGGGATGTCGTAGGCGGAGCGCTGGATGGTGAAGGTCAAGTCTGTGGTGGTGGTGAGGGTGTCGAAGAGGGCGCAGATGGCGTCGTGGGCTTGATGTTCCTCGTACGCTAGTTCGGGGTTGGACCAGATCTGGTGACTCGGTTAGCTCGAGTGGTTGATGGGGGCTCATGTTTGTGATGAATCCCTGTGGGACTTTTTGTATCATAGGTGATTAGGAAGGCTACCTTCTGGTTGATCTTCTGTAGTTGGGTGTCATAGTTGCGCAGGGCTTCCTGGACGCTGGCGATGAAGCGTTCTTGGGCGGTTTGAACAGTCATCTTGGGTGATTTGACAGTGGAATCCTGCCTTCTCGTGAGTATTAGACATGATGGGCGCTATTTTATATCTGTGCGACCCAGACCGTCAGAATCTCCCCCTCTGGTGATGCGGAGATGCGGAGATGCTCGCCGCAGTTCATGCCCGGCTTATCAGGCATTCCATTCCACCCGCTTATCGATCGGCTGCATTGCCGAAGCGGAGTGGGCTCCGATTGCCGATCTAATTGGCTCAGTGCCGCGGACAGTCACCTGACCCCTGCCGACCCAGCCAATCGCGTTGTCTGCCTCGGCACTTTGCGCGGCCCGGCTGTTTCTCCGGAGTGGCTCCCTTCTGGACAATATCGCGACGGCGAGATCATCGGCACTCTTCCCCTCACCTTGCAGTCTCCCTATCGCTTAGCATTGGCTTATCTGCGTGGTAGCATCGCTTACTGCCTGTCAGCCATCACATTTACAGAATATACATGACCCTGATAGACCCCCACTCGACACAACCCCTCCGCGAGCAAATGACCCAGTGGAGCGCTGCCGAACTCCAGCAGCACTATCGGGATGCATAAGCTCGGCAAGAAGACTCGCTCCAGGACCGGTGAGGATCCACTCGGATACCGTGTCAGCAGTAATCTTGGAATGATTCACCGATCGACTGACGCTACGCAGGCTGTCGCACGTGTCGAATCCGCAAGGTCAAGTGCGACGAGGAGAAATTGGCCGTCCCCGGCCAGCCTGAACCGCAATGCCGGCGTTGCACCGCCGCCCGCATCCTGTGCGAGTGGAAGGGCGGCCCTATCCCCCGGCCTTCTGCCAGGAGAAATGTTTCCGCATCCACGACCAAGGAAGTAGTACAGAAGACGGAGGGTAATGCGGGTAGCCCGGCCCATGGTACGACGGCACGAAAGAGCCCCCCTACGACAACAACGACGACGACGACGCCGCCCCCTCAATCCCCAAGGATTCTCACCCTATCGTCTCCCGGAGGCAAAAGCAGGACCGTGCAAGCGGCCAACTCGCTTGTGCTGACCGGCTTCGACCGCTCGTGCATCGCCTACCTCCAAGACTCCGCGCTGGTCGTGCTTCTTGGCAAACACTGGCCGTGGTCCGCCATGTCGTACGCCTACCACAAGATCGCGGTCCGGGAGCCCATGGTAATGAGTATGTTGTTGGCGAGTACGGCGAGCGAGATCCGTCGCGCCCAGCTCTACGACAGTGAACAGCCACGGGACGCGGTCGAGACGGTGGCAGATCTAGGGGGTCGCATGCATTACGGACGGGCGCTGGCCGGTCTGCGGGAGGCATTGCGGCCGGAGGTCGAAAAGTCGTCGGAGCAGCTGGAGGCCATCTTTATCACTTTGTGGCTGATGATCGACTACGAGAACCGCTTCGGCAGCGGCACCGCGGCCATCAATGTGCACATCCGGGGAATCGAGAGTTTGCTCTTCAACCATGTCGTTCCGCTATTGAAGCCTGCTTCATCCGCATCGGCGCTTGGTGCAGAGGGGGGAAGGGCAGGTGCCGGCGCCTTGCCCTGGGGGAAATCGACGAACGCCGCTGTAGATAGCACCGAGAGGACAACCATGTTGCCGACGAATAGTTTGCCTGGGCTGGCGACCAGCAAACTCCGTCACACAGCGGTACCTCTCTTCCTACTGTGGACGTTGTACTTCTTCACTCCCGGGGCCCTCTTCTGCGGGCCTGCGGCCGCCCGACTCGACGCCGACCTCTTCCGGTTCTTCATCCAGGACGAAGCCGAACAAAGAGGCCTGAGTCTGGCGGAGCTCTACCGCATCGGCCGCCAATCGCCCCGCCGCTTCTGGGGCGACTCGTACCCGACGGCGGCGCAGCTGGACGACATCGAGAACCAGCCCGCGTTGGTCCTCTACCACCGAAGTCATGTCTTGCAGTTCAAGATCACCGAACTCTGGCGCCAAGGCCAGCAGACTTCGGAGGTGTCGTATCGTCGTCTCGTCGACGAACTCACCTTGGTCCTGGAGGTATGTATGCCATTTCGTAGACTTCCCTTCCCTATCACCTCAGACGTGCTAACCCCCAACAAGCAAAACGACAGCATCCTCACCACCGCCCTAACCGCCCCAACCTGCGACTTTGCCAGCCGACGCGTCCTGGAAACCATCTTCTGGGCGACCATCACCTTCTACGGCACGATCGTGTACTTCCATCTCTGCTTCAAGGACACCGTCCCGCCGACGTCGACCACCACCACCCAACAACACACCGCACAGCTACCTCCGCTGGAAAACGCGGTCAACCAGGTATTATCTCTCTCTCTCAAACTCCACCGCAGTCGACCCCACCTGATGGTCCGGATCATCTGGCCGCTGTTCATCGCGGGGATCGCGACCCCGGACCGCATCTACCAGGATTGGGTATCGATCCGGCTGCAGGAGCTGGGCCGGTACGGGCTGAACTACAGTCGCGTGAGTCGGCGGTTCGACGAGATTGTGATCCAGGGATGTGACCCGTTCGTTTCAATTTCTGCTTCTTCCGCCGATGTCGATACTCCTGCGGAGGAGGTGCTGGATGCGGAGGATCTGGGGCCGGGGCTGGGCCTACCGATGCGGATTGGTTGAGTACTACGATTGTATGAAGGAAGTCACTCGCATTGATGGCCCCCTAAACAAGGTCCAGCCCGGTCGCTGGGCTTCCATGTTTCGGTCGATCAAGAAATAGACACGGGGCTTGACGCAGGCATGCGACATGCGGTGGCTTCAGGGAATGATTCTAGAAGCTAGTATTTTCTGGGGGTTTGCTGTGTTCTTGCTTGGCGATGATGCATGATCGGGGTCATGATGCATATTTCGCTTGTTTACTTTTACTAATCGAAACCAGAGATCCCGTTGCTGGGTTGGGGTTCATTACCAAGGATGATGCGTGCGGGGCACGCTGAAGAGAGGCGAGGCTGTACGCCCAGCAATTACACTGAACCTTACACAGGAGGGGGGTAGTACAACACACGTTACTTCATAGCAGGAATCGCTAACGCAAACTCAAACGCCAACCCCCAAGTCCAAGACCAAGATCAAAACCACCATATTCCAGACAACGCGCCAGCCAACCACACCCCAAGACGCCAGGAGACACCCTTACCCACCCTAACCGTGATACCAACCGATAACTAGAACACCTGCACGCATTCTTGGCGACAGACTCGGCGGCACCAAAATAGCACAGAAAAAAAAAAGGTCGGATAATCGGCAAGCAAGCGCATCATACCACCACACGCACAGCAAAGCCAGTCATCATGATTCAACTGGAACTATGCTTCAACGACGCCTGACAGATCGGACACCGATACCGATGCTGCTCGACCCACAGAACCAAGCACGCGGCATGAAAGACATGGTTACAGCGATTCAGCACGACCACCTCATCCTGTTGTGGATGCGGTTGCGGTGGCTGTTTTTCGGTCGGTGCATGCTGCTGCTGCTGCTGCTGCTGCTGCTGCTCCGCCTCTAGCTCCGTGGAGCAAGAAGACGAGGAAAGCGATAGCGGCACCGACCCGCGGCGCCAGTCGCCCAATCCGGATTCCAATCCTAATCCCCGTTCGAGATCGGAGTCTACTGCGTTGGTCGGTGCCATCACTCCGCTGCCGCTGTGGTAGCCTCGCTGGGGAATCCATGCGGGTTTCGGTTGTGTTGGCGGGAGGTTGTTGGTGGTGGTGGTGGTGGTGGTGGGAAACTTCTCGTTTTCGTCTACTTTCAGACGCTCAAGACAGATGGCACTAGACCTCGCCCGAGAGTCGGGCATAACATTAGCATAATAGCATAACTTTTGCGCAATACCGAGAACGGGGTGGCAAATTGCGATAATCCACGGAGATGTGCGATGCGATTGGGGTGTCCTGCAGCATAACGACCCAAGAACGAGAAAGATAAGAGAGGGAGGGAGGGAGGGAAATCCTCGCCAAGGAATCCCGCCAAGAATCTCCGCCAAGAAGGGACTCTTGGCTTGCCTCTCTCACTGAATCAATCCTCCGAATACGCGGGGTGGGGAAAGACACCCGATGACATAAGCAGCAACCCAAAAGCGAAAAGCATACGAAATCAGACAGGGAAAAGCGACTCGGGATCCAGCCAAGCCAGCCAAGAAAAACAGCCCAGAACAACCAAACTTTGAAGTTTCTGGACCCCCGCCGGATGCGGAAACCCCAATAAGACAGAAGGGAAACAACGTACCAGGATTCCTGGGCATAATGCCAGGTCTCGTTGGTGCCCGAATGGGTTTGTTCTTCGAGCCAGCGCTCCACGCTGATCGGGAGCTGTTGCATTGAGGGACTGCCAGTCAGCGCCTGGAGGGCGCTGTCCCGCCGGAGGGGGTCGGCGGCGGTCGCGGTGGAGGATGTGCCGCCGGCCGCGGCGGCGGTGGCGGCGCGACGTCGGCGACGGTGCCATGTTAGAGCTCTTGCGTTGTTGCCAGATTGTTAGTGATGGTGCTGTTGATGCTGTTGAGACTGGTGAAGAGTGTTTGGTCGTGTTGGGGGGTATGTCGGATCTGGTGAGGTCACTGCTGCTCGGTGACCCTCCCCTCCCCTCCCCTTCCCTCATCCCTCATGCCAACTCAAAAGAAAACCAAGATCTTGGCGCCATGATATGTAGTACGCCGGCAAACGAGATAAGATCTTGGCGGCTTTCCTTGAGAGGCTCTTTTTTGGGGTAAGGTAGGGCTGGAGGGAGGGAGAGGGGGGGATGTGGGTGGGCGGAGACCAGAATGACGAATCTCTCACGAATGAGCGCTCCTCCACCCACCCAACCGACACAAACAGCGGCGGCGGGGAAAGCAAGACAACAGAGAGAGAAACTCACATGGGCAGAAAGCTAATGACGATGAACAAAGCCACGGCTCCGATGATCACGCCGACGATTTCGCCACTTGGGGGGGGAGGGTCGTGCTCCGTCATCGGCAATGTTGTTAGTTTAGTTTGATGTGTGTGTGTGTGTGTGTGTGTGTGTGTGTGTGTGATATGCGAATCACAATATGATCAGGGAATCGATGGGGACCACGTGAAGCTGCGATGCGCGCGAGGTTTGATGTAGAGAACGTAATCCTACATAGAAGTCGGATGTAAGAATAGTCAGACAGACGCGCAGGGTATCCAGCCGTGGCAGGTAGCAAGCATAAGATAAGTTCGAAAGGGCTAATGCAGTATAGTATGTAGTCGATGGCAGAGAGCAGAAAAGCAAGACAACAAAAAAAATAAAATCACACAAAAATTCGGACCAACCGACCGGGGGTGGGAACACTTTAAAGTGTGTGCCCCCTATTTGTTATCTGAGTACAGTACAGTATTGCTTTGCTGTTTCAACTCGCACCTCTCCCTCTCCCCGCCGGACGGCATCACGCAGGAAGGGACCGAAGGGGGGAAACGGGAACCCAACACGAGGACAGACTAAAGGCAAAACTGTACTTGACTGTACGATGCGATGCATCTTCCCGCCAAGGGCTGGGCTGGGCTGGGCTTCTCTGCTCTTTCTCCGCGCTGCGGAACCGGCTTGGCAAGTTGAACCGGCGGGTACACACCCTGGCTCAGCTAATCACATCCCCAGATCCAACCCATGCAGTCATTTCTTCCCATTTCTTCCCCAGACTTGGAACCATGGATGCAAGCACAATTGTCTGCGTCATGGTTGCTGCGGCGAATCCTCTCACTGGACTGTAGGGGTTCTTGGCGGGAGCTGGGCATGACAGTTTCCCCAATTGCCTCCCAATCGCCCCCAAGTCACCCACTGTCTCAGTAACGGGATTATCGGCGAAGCGAGATATGCCGAGAAGTGGTGGATGGAGGTAATCGGAGATGATAGTGTTATATAAGGCTGTGCTCCCTTCGTTCCTCGGTTCCAGGACATATTCCAAATCGATCGGATGCCAGATCTAGCTAGATCTTTTTATTCAGCAACGACATCTAGACTATTGATAGGTTACGTGGTTTAGAGAGCACTGCCATCATCTATGACATCGTCCAGATAGATTAGATCCCTTGCTTTCTCTTATCTTTTGATTATCAATCTTCGACCTTTGACCCGAACCACCTGACTGAGTTCTCGATTGGAAGATGAAATCCAAATCTAATAACAACAGCAGCAGCAGCAGCAACAACAACACCCCCGGCACGCGTCTGTCGCAACCGGCGCACTCGTTACCCTGGGAGACCATCCTCCAGGAACTGCACGTGAACCCGGACCAGGGGCTTTCCAGTGCGGAGGCGGCCGCGCGGTTGCAGCAGGATGGGCCGAATGAGCTGGAGGATGACGAGGGGGTCTCGTTGTTGACGATTGTGATTCGGCAGGTGGCGAATGCGATGATGCTGGTGCGTGAACCCCCCCCCCCCCTTGGAGCTACACCTTCCCTACAAAGACAGCAAGCTAACCCCCGTCAAGGTCCTCATCATCGCCATGGCCGTCAGCTTCGGGATCCAATCCTGGATCGAAGGCGGGGTGATCGCGGCGGTGATCGGGCTGAACATCGTGGTGGGCGTGTACCAGGACTTCGCGGCGGAGAAGACGATGGGGTCGCTGCGGTCGCTGAGCTCGCCGACCGGCACCGTCACCCGCGACGGCAAGACCAAGACGGTGCCGGCCAAGGAGCTGGTCGTGGGCGATGTCGTGGAGTTGAAGGTCGGCGATACCGTGCCGGCCGATGTTCGGTGCGTCCCTTCCCCAAAACCCTAACTCTTTCAGAAATCAATCTGACCGCACAACAGTCTCATCGAAACCATGAACCTCGAGACCGACGAAGCCCTGCTGACGGGCGAATCCCTCCCCATCGCCAAAACCCCGCACGACACCTATGCGGCGGACACCGGGCCCGGCGACCGCCTCAACATCGCCTACAGCTCGACGACCATCACGCGCGGCCGCGGCCGCGGCATCATCACCAGCACCGGCATGGCCACCGAGATCGGCCTCATCGCCGCCGCCCTGCACGCCTCCAACCACTCCGCCCGCTACAAGCGCCGCACCCCGCGCACCAACCCGGAGGACGACTCCCCCAAGAAGCGCGAGAAGGTCCTCAACCCCCTCGCCAATCTCTGCCTCTCGACCAGCGCCTACGTGCTCAATTTTCTCGGGCTGAACACCGGGACGCCCCTGCAGCGGAAGCTGTCGGCGCTGGCGCTGGTGCTCTTCGGTATCGCGGTGGTGTTTGCGCTGGTCGTCATGGGGGCGAACGGCATGCGGAATGATCGCGAGGTCATTATCTATGCGGTCGCCACGGGGCTGGCGATGATTCCGGCGTGTCTGGTGGTGGTGTTGACGATCACGATGGCGGCGGGGACGCGGTCGATGGTCAGTCGGAATGTGGTGGTGCGGCGGTTGGAGAGTCTGGAGATGTTGGGGGCGGTGCAGGATGTCTGTTCGGATAAGACGGGGACGTTGACGCAGGGGAAGATGGTCGTGAAGAGGGCTTGGGTAGCGGGTGTTGGGGGGTTGGTGGTTGTGGGTGAGGGGGGTGATGTCCTCGATCCGGGCAATGGGGACGGGGTGAGGTTGGTTTCTGGGCCCGAGGTCGAGGCAGGAGGGGAGAAGGAAAAGGGAGCGAACCCAGACAGTGGTCAGCCCTGGGAAGCGCGCAGGGAGGGCTTGTTGAATGCTCACGGGTCGGGCGCCCTGTTGCAGCAGTACCTCGATGTCGCGGCCATGGCCAACCTGGCCCACGTGCATTACTCGGATGAGTCGCACGAGTGGCAGGCCCGCGGCGAGCCCACGGATATCGCCATCCAGGTCTTCGCCATGCGCTTCCAGTGGGGCAGGGAGCGGTGGACGGGCGGCCGGAACCCGCTCTGGACGCAGAAGGCCGAGTATCCCTTCGACTCGACCGTCAAGAAGATGTCGGTGATCTTCGAGAATGCTGAGACCTCGGCCCAGATGGTGTTCACCAAGGGTGCAGTCGAGCGGGTGCTGGAGGCGTGTACGC